AAAAAAACGGAAGAGAGGACTAACTTATAGAACGGGCCCGATCAAATTAGCTGGAGATCCCCTCTTGTCTAACTTGACAAGGGACATGTATCACAATAAATCAGCCGAAGAAAACTAACTGCAGCAATGGAGATTTCGAGGGGTGTAGACGGTCGCCGAGCCAGACGCGGGGCAGTATGTGATAATAGGCGGTAAGACCAGTCAAGATCCCCTTGAAAGGAATGCCCTTGCTAGCCGTATGTCCCCCTAGTTCAGCGCAGCAAAGATCTGGACGCCGTGAAAGAGCATCCGCAAAACGGATCGACTTCCCCGGAATGTGATCGGGAAAGAAGTCGAACTGGTCGATGAAAGCCATCCATCGAGCGATGGTCTGTTGACGGTGTCTTGGGTCTTGTAAAAGACCAACGGATTGTTGTCCGTTACCCATCGAAATTGGCTTCGACCAAGGAGGAAGTGCTGCCACCACTTGAGCGCATGGACGAAGGCGAGGAGCTCCTTCTTGCGTGCATCGTCAATGGAATGCACGACGGGCACTTTCCTACTGAAATAATCGACCGGGTGCCAGTCCACACCATCATGTTGCTCAAGGACTGCACCAATGCCATAGCCTGACGCAGCCGTAGTAACGCGTGTAGGCAAAAGCGGGTCGTATATCCGCAAGATCTCCGCGGACAATAGCGCGGCTTTGAGAGCCAAAAATGATTCCCGCGCCTCCTCTCCGATGTCAAACGGTCGATCCCGCGATCTTCGAGTAGCCTTTGATAAATTGCTGGTAGTAGCCGGCGAGGCCAAGGAACGAACGAACATCCATGAGGCTCCGGCCACTCTTGGATGGGTTGAATTTTGTCCGATAGCGGACTTATGCCCTCTGGTGTGACAAAATGGCCCAAGTATTCCAGCTCTCGTCGGACAAATTCGCACTTGTCGCGATTGGCCTTGTACTTGGCGCGGCGGAGCGTCTCCAACGCTCACTGAAGATGCCCAAGATGATCCTCCAATGTCCGGCTATAGACGAGAATATTGTCTAAGTAGACCAGCACGAAGCGGTCCAACATTGCACGAAACTTATTGGTCATTGCCGCTTGAAAGGTCGTCGGGGCGTTGGTGAGGCCAAAAGGCATGACCACGCACTCAAAATGCCCGTACCGCATCTTGAACGCGGATTTGTAGCGATCATTCGGCCGGATCGAGATGTGTTGATATCCCGATTTCAAATCCAACTTAGAAAAATACTTTGCGCCGCCCAATCGCTCAAGAAGATCGTCGATGCGAGGAAGACGCCCCGCATTCTTGACGGTTTGCACGTTGAGCTTGCGGTAGTCGATACACAATCGTAGATCCTTGTTCTTCTTTCGAGCGAAGAGAACCGGTGCTCCATTTGGGGAGCTACTAGGGCGGATCCACCCTTGGTCAACAAGTCGTCGAGTTGTGCGCGGAGGACCTCGAGCTCCTCCTCGCTCATCCGAAAGATGCAACCTTTCGGAGGCACGACACCGGCCTCAAGAATGATCTCGTGAGAGATCGGCCGCTCCGGCACCACACCGGTAGGTGACTCAAAGATGTCGGCGAAGTCGTCCAGCAACCGCACCACCCGGGGGTCCGAAGACAAGTCCGTGGGTGAAGAGTCGGCTACCGCGACGGTCCGTAGGAAACATAGGCCGATCTCCTCAGGCTGCTCGTAAGCGCAAGTCGCCCGGAATGATTTGGCCGTCACCACTTGGCACCGAATCGAAGGGTGCGACAAAGGAATAGTACAAGCCACTTCCGCGCCGAAGGCGTCGCGAACGCTAAGAGTTCACCGGTGGAAGTTGACCGTGTGATCCGCACTTGCAAGCCAAGGCATTCCCAAAATGATGTCAAAGTCCGTGTCGAGAATGTCGAACGTCACCGGTTCGCGTGCATGAGGTGCGAAATAAACCGGTACGGCCTCGATGTAACGGTCGAGAAGTTGCTGCGTCTTTCCATCCGCCAACTTGATCGCCGTCGACTTTGCCTTCCTCCGAACTTGTGCGCCAAGGCCAGCCCTTTGCATAAAGGCTTGGCTCATGAAATTGCGAGACGCGCCGCTATCCAGCAAAGCGCTGCAGGACGCTTGCCCAACCTGGATGCGAACATACATGAGCGGTGCGTTGTCGTCATCGTACCGCTGCGTGCGGAACTTGCGGGCCACCTTGGTAGTATACGCAAGGATGTCCCCCACCGCGACTTCGTCATCCGTCGGCGAAGTTGGTGGTGCATAGAAGGATAAGTACGTGTGGAGATGAGCGCATAGTGCTGCGCATTGCGGTCCCGGCAAGCAGCCCGTGGTCGGGAGAGGCAGCCATGCGAAATCCTCGGACGTGAGCGGGTCCAATACCTCTATGTTGAACTCACGCGCCGAATCCCGTGAAGAACCACTTGAAGACGATAAGTCGCCGCTGCCGGACGGAGAAGATGCCGCACACACGTTTTGTCCTTGAGCTCGAGTACCCAGCGTAGGAACGAGCCAGGCAGCATAGTGCTCAAAAGAATATAGAAGAGGAGGACTATCGACTTCCGCATGCGCCTCGGAATGAGGGCCGGTCACTCGCGAAGAGACCGGTTCCGGAGGCGTCGAGAGTGTCGCCGAGTCACTCCCGGCGGTGCTCAGTTTCCCTGTTTGCCCTTGCCTTTCAATGGGCAGGCCAGTGTCTCATGGAGATCGTTGTTGCACCAAAGGCAATAGTGGAATCTCGTGCGTGCTTTGCATGCTTGCTCGGAGATGCCATATTGGGACCATGGGGCTGGAGCTGCTGCGCCGGGTCCGGGGCTAGATGCGGTGTGTGTCTTCGTCTTGCCGCGTCCTCGGCCTCTGCCGAGGCGGCCACCTTCTCGGGCGGCTGCGAGTCTGTCCCCTTCATTGGCAGACATGGCCTCGCTAGTTTGGTCAAACGGCGTTGCTGCCGCGACCACAGCCACTCTTTGCCGATGTTGGTCTCTGCTCGGGCCTGGCGCAGACGAACGCAACGCAACAGCATAGACCAGGCCGGGGGCCTGCTGACGTGGTATTCCCTGCTGCTGACGTGGCACTGCTGTCGGCTGACGTGTCCTGCTGATGTGTCCTGCTAACGTGGCCTGCTGACGTGACCTGCTGACGTAGTCTGCTGACGTGGCCTGCTGACATAGTCTGCTGACGTGGCCTGCTGACGTGGCAACTCACCAATGCCGCCGCAGGGAGTACCCGGAGACAGGTAGTGTGGCATACTAAGCTACACGGGCCCCCGTTAGGGCCCGGTTCCCAGTAGGCAGGGTAGGCCTAGGGGGACGACGGTTCAGACCAGGCGCAGATAGGTCGAGGCAGGGCACGTTTAGGCCCAAACGGCCAGAGGCCGGTACCGGTCCAGCCCAGGACCAACCGGCGGCGTTTCAGAGGCTGCCACATTTTGGCGCCAAACCAGTTTGAATCTGGATCGTCGATTCGGATCAACGGTCCAGGCCGGTAGGTACCACCAGTAGGCAAGAGGCCGGCCCAGCACTACAAAAGGTTGGGTACCAGCCTCAGTCCGGTAAGTTAGTATGGACGGAGGTTAGTCTTCTGGATTAGCGCAGCAGCCAGCGTTAGCTCGATTAGCGCAGCGCTGCAGCAGCGAGGAGCAGCAAGAGAGCGAGGTTCAGCGGAGAGTGGATTAGCGCAGCACTGGGCGCCTCGCCAGTTACCGGCCCAGCCTTCCCTTTGCAGCACCATAGCCAGGTACCAGGGAGGAAGGCTTCGCCTTCTCTCCCTCTTCTCCTCTACCGCTTCTCTCTCTCTCTCTCTCTCTCTCTCTCTCTCTCTCTCTCCTCCTAGCTTCTCAGTCTAAGTCTACTTCTACTTCTCCTACAGGACTACTGCAGTATGGGAGATGGTTACGAGTTCTGATGATATATGAGACAGCGTCATTGGGACTACGAGTTGAGGACTATTTGGGGATCTGATTTCATCTTCCGTCCGGAGATGTACTTGACATTGTGAGATCGATATCTGAGACATTGTGAGACTTGGCATTCGCGACATTTGGGATTTTCGTCATTTCTGACATTTCTCTCCTTTCGTCTGTGGATGATCTCAGCCCCTGGCCTTTCGTTTATGTCTACGGCCAGGGCATTCACACCCCCGATGAATGTTTGAAGAGTGTTCGATTGCAGTCCGAGTCAGGTCTGAGTCAGTCCAAGGTATCTCAAGTCTTCTGCTTGCATTTGTATAACTCTATATTATCTAGTCGGTTCTGGGAATCTGCGCCATACTTATGACTTTGTTTCACGAGTATGCAACAGGTAGAGAAGGTAGGGCGAGAGGTGGCAACGACATAGGTGGGGAGGGTGGGTGGGAAGAATCGCTCAGATAAGGAGCCACTAATCAAAAAGAAAAGTTTGAACTTTGCAAAAAAAAAATTCGAGAAAAATAAAAATCCCGACTTTTGCAACAGTAGGTCTCCCAACCTCCCTTGAAGTGCGAAATGATCAATGAGAGAAAAAAATTTCGACTTCAGACTGCAAATGACTTATAGAACTGACTAACAGAATCCTAGAACTGCGAAAAAAAAATTCCGAAAAGAAATGACAAGTATTCAGATTTACTCAGATGAGAGTATTCGCAGTTTGGAAAATAATACCTGCAGGAGGGATTTCCCGTACCGTTTTCAGAAAAAACGAATTTCGAAAAAGAAGATATTCAGAATTTTTTAAGTAACGGGAAATGCAACAGGGAATCGAAATTTTCGAAAAGAAGGATATTCCGGATTTTCAACAACGAAATTTCGAAATTTCGGAAGGAAAACGAAAAATGGAAATTTCAGATGTTGTGCTACAACAGAATAGCGAGAAAACAAAATCCAAGAAAAGTGCAATCAGACTTGCTTTCGTTCACACTTTACATGCATGCAAACAGTAGCGCAGCAAACTGGCGACATGCGCCCACACAGTACTCAGAGATATGGCAACCCGGATTCGAGTTCACTTCCAATGGCTATGGCTACATAGCGTCCATACAACTCTCTGTTTGCATACAGTGGATCGCCCTGGATATCCCACACGCGTCTCTCTAAACACTCACACACACACACACACTGAACACTAACTACAGCTATGGCGGCTAGGGTCGCAACTACCCTATCGCTATGGCTAAGCTTCGTCTTCCTTGCCCACTTCGTCTTCGGGCTCACTGCAGACCTCCTTGCACAAGTCGTTGTGGCAGCGCTTCCGCATGGCTCACGCAGGAATGGATGAATGGCTGGGCGCTGCCTCTTGATTTATACTTCTGCAGCTCGTTGGTCTGGCCCTTTCCCATGCCCGAAACGCACACAGTCCCATGCGGTACTTCCTGGACTGGACCAGGACTGACTGGGGGCTGGGACTGTTGACTCAGCACGGGTAGACTCCACCACTTGCCTCGCCACTTGCCCACTTGCCTCAGTCTAAACGTGGGCAACTTCGAAAGGCCACTATTGGGACCTTTCGGAAGGTCGTAGACTTGGCTTCTCGTGACTGTAGCAGCTACGACTTTGACCCTTCTAGACTGTAGCAGCTACGACCTTGACTCTTCAAGAAGGCTACAACTACGACTTCTAGACCTGACTAAGACTCCTACTCGACAGGTCTACAGATCGGACCCCAGCTACCTCTCGACCCTACGACAACCTACCAACTGTTACAAATACACAGGTCGCAGGTTCAACTCTAGGGGTCGACACAGATACTGTACACAGGTAAGGTGACGACTAGGGATCGAACCCTGGGATCTGCATCAGCTACTGCGAACTGGTGAATACCGTTTCACTCCCGCCGTCTTAAATTCGAGGTCCTCCGAGAATAATTCAATCCAAGGCAGGACCTTTACCTTTCTGATCTCTCTCGTAGGCTTTGACTATATCGGGAGCTGTTTCTAGAAGTTCTGATCTCGTGAACCAGCGGTCATCCTCCGGCTCCTGATAAGCAAACCGGACCTTGTACTGTTTCTGTGGACGACCTCTACCTCCTGTTCTGAACACATCTTCACCTACAATGTCGTCAATGTCATATCTTTCGTCCATGTCTGGAGGGATCATGGACCGTCTAGATGGAAACTCTTGACTTGTGACACACGACAACAATTTGGATGCGTGAAACACGGGGTAGGTGTGGAGGTGCGCTGGTATCTCTATGGTGTAGGACGGTCCATCCTCTCCGCCCTTTACTTCTAGAACTGGCCACAGTCCTCTATACGCCGAGCAGTAACTTCTGTGAGATGTTCTCCTCGGGTGCAAACTCTTTAGACTTGACCCATACCAGGTCACCTACCTGAAACTGCGATGGGCGACGATGCTTATTAGCTTGTTCTATCATGCGGTGCTGGGCCTTCGTGAGGTTCCCAACAACAGTCACTATCTCTTTCTCGTGCTGTATTGTGAACTCCCTAGTACCGGGCGGTAGCCTGTGAAACTGATCCCGGTTAAGCCCTTCAAACGGTCTGCGCGGTCTAAAGGACTTGTGCAGCTCATTGGGAGTGCGATAGGTGGACAAATGTACGTTGTTATTGTATGCACTAGCTACCTTGGGTAACATCTCGTCCCAGTTGATCTGATCGGGTCTAATGTACATGCGCAAAACTTGCTGCACGATCTTGTTCATCTGCTCTGTCTGACCGTTGGTCTTTGGATGGCGGCCAGACGACATCAATAACTTTGATCCATAGACTCGCATCCGCTCCTGCCAGTTCTGGCTAGTGAAACGACTATCTCTATCACCGACTATTGACAACGGGACTCCATGTTCATTAACCCAAAAATCAAAGAACTTCTGTATCACTAACTCTGTGCGTGCCTCTGCAGGCAAAGGGACAAAAATAACATACTTACTAAATCTATCAACTACGACCATGACTTGGCTCTTGCTGTGTCTACTCTTGACACCGACATCCATGAAGTCAATGGAGACTGAATCTCCTGGCTGGTCTGGAATGGGCAAAGGTCTGAGAAGACCTATAGGGGCACGCATTGTGGTCTTGTTCCTCTGACAGACTTTACAACTGTAGACATACTCTATGCAGTCCTTTTTCATTCCTGGCCATGTATACGCGTGCATAAGGTTGGCTAATGTCTTCTGCCAACTGAAGTGTCCCTCTGTATCGTGGCATTCCCCTAAGATCAGACTGCGGATCTCCTCATTGTTGGGAACGCATAGGCGGTCGAATACATTAGTCTTCTCGAATAGCAAACCCTCTGTAGTGCGGTAATCTGGCTCAGTCTCTGGGGCCTCCTTAACTCTCTTGAGGAGGTCGCTATAGATAGGGTCATGCGCGTACGCTTGCCTAACTTTCTCTTGCAGGTCACTCCCTATGTCCAGATAGTAAACTATCGCTCCAAAGTAGTCCGATCTCCTACTCAGAGCATCCGCAACTACGTTGTACTTGCCCTTCACCGGCTTGAGCTCGAAGTCATATTGGTCTATCTCAGCGGCCCACCTAGTCAACTTAGGTGTCATCTTGGTTTGTGTCTTCAACCATCTAAGCGTCTCATGGTCAGAATACACTTTGAAGTGCCTCCCAAGCGGGTAATGCTTCCAGTGCTCTAAGGCCTGCCTGAGAGAGTAGAGTTCTCTCTCGTACGTCGAGGTAGCAACCTTCTCAGAGGGCATCCTCGTTGACATGAACTCTACGGGTCTGTAGCCATTGCCGTTGTCTTGCTGTAACACGGCGCCTATACCATATTGACTCGCGTCCGTGGTGACGACAAATGGCAAAGACGGATCTGCCACTTTGAGGACAGGGTACTCTATTAACGCGCGCTTAACCTCTTAAGCGTAGATGTACAATCTTTGTCCCATTGCCAGATTGCCTCTTTCTTAAGCAACCTGCGCAAGGGAGTGGCGATAGTAGAGAAGTTCCTTACGAACTTTCTATAGTAGTTAGCCAGGCCTAAGAACGACCGCAACTCTGTCAACGTGCAGGGCGTCGGCCAGCCTCGAATTGCCGCTATCTTGCTGTCCTCTGGCTTAATGCCATCTCCGTCCAACACGTGGCAAGTATAAAACTTGTGTCTTGGCCCACTCACACTTCTTCGCATTGATCTTATAGTTAGCTTCTCTGAGCTTCTCCAAGACCTGCCTCAAATGACCCCGATGTTCCTATAGGGTCCTACTGAAAACTAAGATATCGTCTAAGCAGACTACAACGAATCTATCCAACGAAGGTCTAAACAGATCATTCATACAACGCTGAAATGTAGCTGGCGCGTTGGTCAGTCCAAAGGGCATCACTATGAACTCATAATGCCCATATCTGGTCCGGAACACAGTCTTGTACTGGTCATCAGGGTGGACCTCTATCTGATGATAACCGGACTTCAAATCTATCTTTGAAAAATACTTGCAACCCTTCACTGTGATAGCATTCAAACCCCTATAGTCTATGCACATACGCAACTCTCCTTCTTTCTTGGGGACGATGAACTGGGCCTGATCCAACCTTTCTCGAGGAGTTTGTCTAACTGCTTGCGCAACTCCTCTAACTCTCTAGGGGACATCACGTAGACTGCTCCCTTAGGAGCTCTACTGCCAGGCTCTATCTCTATCCTGTGTTGGATCGGCCGCAACACTACTCCTGTCGGCGGCTTAGATAAGTCTTTGAACTCTTCCAGCAGCTTGGCTATGGCTAGATCTGTGGAACTCACTTCTTCCTTAGCCCCAGTGACAAGTTTGACATAAACTACAAAGACCTGATCCTCCAACTGCTCCTTTTTCACTAGTCGCGCGAACGCGGGAGCACTGAGACAGCAATGTGCCAAGGCGTTGTCTACACCTGACACATGAAACATGCGGGCAGTCTTAACCTCGCCTGACGGACTAGGGAGCCTACACTCATGCTCTCTCAAGTGGAGTGTGGCCCCTGCTGCCTCTCCCCAATCCATTCCTAACACGATATCAAAAGGAAGGTCGTCCTGTACGAGGAGAGTCAGGGAATGGAGAACTTTCTCCACCTTCCCATCTTTCTCTAGGCGAAAGTACGCCTGGACTCCCTCTACGTAGTCCTCAACTCGCATCGTGCGGTTGTCTGCGAGAACACTGACTATGGGGTCTGCCAACTTCTGGACTTTTAATCCTAGCCTCAGCTTCTTCAGCGCCCTAGGACTAATGTAACTGCGGGTGGCCCCTGAGTCTATAAGGGCCCCTACTCTGCTTCTAAACACTTCTACATCGACTAAAATTAGTTGTCCCTTACTCTCCTTCTTCATCTTGGCCCAGGCTGGCATCCTCTCCTTCAATTCTTCTGCCACGTCTGTGAGGGACGTGCCTAGAGAGACGCTAACACAAGCAGTCTCTGGACAGCTAGCTAGGCACAGACCTGCAACCTCTGCCATAGGCTCATGTGGTTTGGGAGTTTCCTGTTCCCGCACGCGCACGTCCCCACATGGCCTTAAAGTAGGGGTAGTTGCAACCCCCACTGGCAGCTGCTTTTTGACTGCTGGGCATCCCATTGGGCCTGTCTGTACTTAGGACAAAATATAATTACATGGGCCGGGTCACCACAAAACACACACTGACCCAAGTCCACGCGTTCCTGCCATACGCGCTGGTCCAAGCCCAAATCTTCCCAGGGCCTGCCCTGCGGCAAGCCTGGGTGCCATCCTCCTTGAGGTGGCCTTCCACCTCGTCGCTGCGGGGACCGACAAGAACCCTGACGATTTGGCAGGGGACCTTGACCCCTACCTCCCACTTGGCGGTTACCTTGTCCGCCAACCCCCTGTGCGCCCGGTCCTCGGCCTCCCGTGGCCTGACCCCTTTGGCCCTGGCCTCCTCCTCTACCTTGCGGCCTCCCTCCAGCCGCGACAGCCGCATAGGACCTCCCTTGTCCTACGCTGCTGTCCTCCTCCTCGAGGCCCCACTCAATCTGACTATATTGGACCTCGTCTGTACCACCTTCCTCTAAAGTAAGGATCATATGATCCTTGACCCTGACTTGGCCAGAGATGGTACGACCTTTCCACTTCTTCCCCTTATCCAAGTCCTTATGCCAAAAAGTGGACACTGACATGGACTTCGACTCGAACAGGACCGCCTCTCTACTCAGCACATCATACGTGATGTCGTCCTGTTGAGATTTGTCAAAGAGATGCCCCCTCAAGGGCTCTGGCATAGCACGATAAAACAGCTGGGCCAACTGGGGCTCAGTGCCCCCATGGTGTGGGACGGCTACCAAGTCGGCCATGACGCCCTTGAGTGCTCTTGCACTCCACTGTCGTGATTGGATCGTCTGTAACTTGTCAGAGGCTCTAACGCCTCTCGTTGGGTCAGCAAATCTCTCCCTTAGGAGTTTGAAGAATTGAGGAAGGGGGGTGATCTTAGAATATGCAACCAGGTTGTTTTCACAACTGGTTGTGCGCTCAAGGGATCTGGCAAAGCTGGTCGCTTCATCTTTGAGGGCCTGGAAGGCGACAAGGACTTGTTCCTCAGTCAGGATGTGTTGTAAATACACATAATTATTGACGCTCGCCTCCTAGTTATCAAAATTATCCTCCTTCTTCCCGCCATATGCGTCTGGGAACTTAAGCTTGACGGACTCTTTACGGGGTCTGGCCTCACTCTCAACAGCGGCAACTGCTTTGGCACTCTCGATGGCGCCCTCACAAAACTTTCCCACGTTCTCTCTTAACCGCCTAACTTCGCCCCCAACGTGGGTGACCATGTCGCGCGCAAAATCTCGGAATCCTGACCGCATGACACTCAGGGCCACATCGTGACCCCAGTTGGCTTGGCGCTCCTCCATCCAAGCCTCACTCAACACTTCCAAGTACCCCAGCATCTTATCCATTTTGGCAGAAGTGTCTGCCTGCGCCTGCACCTCTCGTCTGCAGTCTCTCACCTTTGCCATCTCCGCGGTCAACCTATTAACTTCCTCCCTCCTTCTCTTCTTTTCCCTCTTCATCCTCAATTTCCACTCCAACTTTTCTCCTCCTCTGCTTCTTGCCGTTCCAGGGGGTCCTCGATTATTGCTAGCGCCCTGGCTAATGCGTCCCTCTCATCCTCTGGCACACACATCTGTGCCTCATCGTCTTCCCCCAACGATAAATTAGCAATCCACTCACCAATCTTCTTCTCTAATTACGCTTCCTCCTCCTTCGTGCCACTGCTCTCCCCTTTTTTTCCTCTACATTATCTCTCCTCCTCCGCTTCTGCTGCTGCTTCTTCCTCAACAACCTTTTTCTTCTCCTCCATCTCTTCTTCCAACTTCTTCATTTTCGCCTCCTGCTCCTCTGCGATTGCTTTCAACTTCGCCTGCTTCAGGAGCTCTTTCCTTTCTTTATTGTCTCTCACTAAGGCGGCCATCTTCTCTTGTTGCTCCCGGGTGTAGGAACTAGTGCTCGTCCCACTACGGGTCTCAACCATGGTGATAAGTGCACAACCGGATTGACGGTTCCAAACCTCACCACGTAGATTCTAACCCCTCACTGACAAACCTACTAACTCAATCTAAAGACTCACAGAATCCGGAAAGGGATCCTATCAACTAGGGTCTCTAGCCTAGACCTATTCTAAGGCTGTCACTACTAGACCTGTTGCTGATCAGGAGGCATTTAAGGAGATCCCCCGTAACTCCTCAAGAATTATTTAACGTCGCAAACAGGACGACGCGATCAGCAGGTCTCTCAACACTTAAACTGCCTGTTGCGCAGCCCACAACTCAGCCTTTCGGGCCTACCGTGCCACACCGAGCAGCCCGCCGGTTTGTACCGGTCCTTGGGAGGGTTAGGCCTCTGGACAGTCGAGTCGTCAGACACAGTCTTTAGCCCTACTTAGTCCGGCAGGGGTTTGGTCAACAAGGCCTATCCTTCGTCCACAAAGTACTATCACCTGGACAAAAGAGACTCGATGCAGAAAGAAGAGACAGACAGACTGGACTCAGCAAGTACCACAGGGTGTGTGCACATCCATAGGGCGAGGGATAGGTTGAAGGCTTGGCGAGATTATACCGGCTCCAGCTTGGTCAAACTCGTGGTCAACGGCTTGGTCAACGCCGGCTAACGCTGCGGTCAACCTCCGGTCAACCCCCGGTCAACGCTTGGTCAACTCTCCCGGTCAACTTCCCCATTCGGCTATGGCTGTCGGCTTCACTTTCTCTCACCAACCTTCTTCTTCCTCGCCTCCTTTCACCCTGGCTGTCTCCTTCCTTTTTTTTATCGTCTCTCTCTTCGCCTCCTCGGCTATGGCTTCTCTCCCCCTTCTCGGTCCCTCCCTTGTCCACTCTCTCTCCCTCCTTTGTCACTCCGTGGTCAAGCTCTGCGGCTATGGCCTTCTTCTTCTTCTTCTCGGGACTGCACAGGTACGTAACAGCCAAACTTGTATCGCTCATCTCTCTCTCTCTCTCTCTCTCTCTCTCTCTCTCTCTCTCTCTCTCTCTCTCTCTCTCTCTCTCTC